GGTGGTGGTGGTGGTGGTGGTGGTGGGGTGGGGGTAGAAAGCCACACATGGCATCAGGACTAAAATATGTCCCCTCTGAATTCTTCCCATTCTGCAGGTTCCTCATTCACACCCGAGCAGGGTCTCATCCAGAGCCCCAGGAAACCTCCTCCCGCTTGCTTCTGTGGGCTCAGCTCAAATTGTCCTGTCACGAAATAATCCCATGAGCGCAGATGTCCTGTAGAAGACAGCTGTATATGCATTGGGAGAACAAATCCCAACCAACGTCCACCACGTGGGAGTGGGCAGGAGGTAGAGCTGGTGCTGAGCTGCTCAGCACCATGCTGGGCAAACCCAAGCCCTGGCTCCAGGTTATGCGGAGGGTTCTGAGACCTTTGCTTTGTAGTTTGTGTTACATTTACATCCCCACAACACCGACTCACACATGCACACACCCTTCCGACCTGGCAGCACTTCCCACACTTGGTGAGATGGAGCAAGACCTGGGGGCTAGAACCTACTTTTTTTTTTTTTTAACTGAGAAGGAATTTCCTTTACACATTCATTTGAGGGAGCCAACTGAGAATGTGCCTGGCCCACCTTCCATACAACTGTTTAAGAGCAAAGTCAGAAACACCGGACAAGTCACATCCAACACCAGATCTCATTTTGCAGAGCAGGCTCAGAAATCTCAGCTGTCTGGTCTACAGATGGACAACCAGCAGAGACATTTTCACTATGGAAGTAGGAAAGATTTAGTGTGGGTAAGGCCCACAGCTAACAGACTTGCTCCCCCATGGCCTTTCAAAGGCACATCCTTTCATTTGCATAGTCTTGTCTGCAGCCCTTGCCAGGCCTTCACAGGCTGGTTGGAATAAAGACGAAGAGTTTCCTTTAATGCAGGGTTAGCTGATGTTTGCTGACATATGGCCCACCCAAGGAGGACTGGCACCTGCAGAGCTGTTCATTAAATAACTAGAGGTAAGTGAGTGAGCCACAGAATTCAGCTATGGGCCTGCAGGTTGGTCTCCTCTATGGGCTTACTTACTTCCCATCAGGATGTTTTGCTCTGCCTGTATTTAGGAAGATTTTATCATCTTCATCTCAAAAGACATTGTGAGTTTCTAGCTAATGTCTGTATTTCTCAATGCAGACAGAAGTCCCAGAGTTAATTCAAATATTTCTTGCTAGAACCAGCCCTGCTTTGGCACCAGGACATGAGCGTGCCTCATATCAGCAGCTCAGAGCTGAGGGTGCAGATCCACAGAAGTGTAAAATTATTTAACCTGGACTGACCCTGCATCCCTCTGCGCCTCATTGCTCCAAGGTGCTTGTCACCGACTTCTTCCCAAGCCTGCGCTAGCACCCAGTACCTTCTCAACAGGCCAGAAAGGGGAACCTGCTTGCTGTGAGAGCATTCTAATATCAACACGGAGAAGAAACAGACAGGTGGGAGTGAGCAAACCCATAGGAAATGGGATTTAGGTCAGTTTAAAAGGATGTAGAACACCACTGCTACCAGCACTTTTGCTGCTCTGTGTGCCATGGCAGGTTACTAGTCCCAGCTTCCCTGTCTGTAGAGCAGGAGCAAGTTGGAGCCTTCTGAGATCCCTGCATGGGAAAACACAAAGAACTGCAGGACTGGCCTGTAAGTGAACCTGAAAATCAGCGCAGCTGCTCTTGAGCCGTCGCGGGCAAACCATTCATCTCACTTGCCACATCACAGCATGATTCTGCTGCCTTGGGACCATCCACTTTCCCATAGGTGCAGACCGGAGCAAACTGAGGGCCTGGTCAGGGTCTCCTTGACACTCAGTATTACGTTTTCTGTTTGCATGAAACTCGTTTCTATGCCTACAGACTTCAGGGACTGGCATCTCTCTGCACAAGAAATGCAGTTTTAAATATGAAAACTTGAAAAAGTTACAGCAAAAAAGGGGGTTTGAGCACATCTGTCCTGATAGAATCACAAGAACATCCAGAATATGGCAATTACTCTGCAACAGGCTCTACATGGTGGTTTTGGCACATGCATCATTTCTAAATCATCCCACGTTTCAGAGCTACAGTGCTGTAAGAGCTCAGGTCACTGTCCCTCCTATCTGCCCTCAGGCTTTAGCTGGTCAAGCAAAGGGAGAGACACCAATGACATGAGCTGCACAGAGCTCAGGACACTGCAGGGCAGATCCAGTGCCACCAGTCAAGGAGAATGCCATGCGGTCCTTCTTATTCATGTCTGGCCTGTTACTGCATGTTGATGCTCAAGTTTTCATGACCTGAGGTGCAGTTAGAAAATGAAAACAAGGAAGCAGACCTGGAGGATATCAATGCATCTTCTAAAACTGCTTAATCTGAAGACCTGGCAGAAAACATGGCATGGGGTGCTGGCATGGGTGGCAGTGGGTATCTTGGGTATCTATGTACTTACTGGGACTATCACTGGTTGAGCACTTAGCACTTGATCTCCTTGATTTCAGCTACTTGTGAAGGTGTCTGGGATCTTTCTTGCAAAGCGCCCAGAGGCATAATAAACTAGCATAGTCACCTGCACTACAAATTCCTGCTGGGCAGAAGCCAGGGGGGAGGATGGTTCTGCCCCTGGGAGCAGAGCCACCTGCCCGACTGGACCAGTGAGTGGGGCAGCACAGAGGGAGTCACCTCCCCAGGGGTGGGAGGGGGACCCAGAGGTGGAGAAGCTGAAAGAACCTTAGGGCCTCAGACACACCCACACTCCCCCACACCTCCATGGTTTCAGAGCAGCACCACCTCTCAGGACACAGCTT